GTGTGTGTGTGTGTGTGTGTGTGTGTGTGTGTGTGTGTATTTGAATAGGAACAATTTAGTACGAGAGAACCTAAAGGTTATGTATACGTATACGTATATATATATATATATATATGTTTATATCTTATTGGTTTTTGTTTATTGTTTATTGTTTATTGTTTATATACTTCTGCATCCTCACCACTAAATCTCAGCTATGGGCCACACGGGCAAAATGGACAAGAAATGGAATGTGGATGGGCTCGGGTGGGCCAAAATCAGTCAGAACATCATCATCACGGCCGGAGTGCTGCATTGGAGCGGCAAGAGCAAGCCTGTAAGTGTGTGGAAAAAGCGTTGCGTCTCCGTGTACGTGTTTGTGTGTATTCTGGTACAAAGAATACCAGGACCAACCGTGCTGACTGCAATACCAACGCCATCACGCATGTGTGTGCGTGACGCCTACCTACCTGACGTCTCACGTAGCTATCCACATACTAATATTCGCATACTCTCCTCCACATCCACATCTAGTGGCAGAAAGGGAACCGTTACCGACAGCACTGGCTGCCGTACAGACCCACCAACGTGTGTGTCAACGATGTGCTGCCCGCAGACCATCCCCTCCGCAACGGATATCGGGGCAAGCCACCTGCGAAAGAAGCCGTGCCCGATTTGGGGGGTATGTGATATGTGTGGTGTTTGTATGTTGCTGGCGAGTGTGTATGAAGGGCTATGTTCTGTGTCATGAGACAATGTGATGTGTGTGGGTGTAAACATCTTGGATTGTTTGTTGTTTTGGTGTATACATTGTTCTGGTTTTGTGTAGGTAGTATCGATGACAGGTTTAGGGGTTAGGTTCTTTTTACCCCCGCCATCCCTTATCACTGGTTAGCTGGGTAGCCCGCCTGTTTAAGAAACCTTTGCCAAGTTGGAAGCTGTTTACTATGGAATGAAATGTTGTGTCCAGTCTGTCGTTCTGCTTATATGTACATCGTATTGTGGGTACACACGATTCAATCTGATGCCGCTATATGCTTACATGGTAGCATGATAGATTGCATGCTTACACCATAGATTTTAGGTCTAATATATATATATATAGATATAAATGTATATATATATATATACATATAAATATATATGTATATATATATATATATCACCATATCACCATATCCGGGTATAACAGCTCTTTCTATTTCATTCCTGTGCCGTTGTACGGGCAGTTATATGGTAGCGTATGTCTCCATAGTTTAAATATGACAACATCCTTCCCGTTGTAGTTACAATGCCACCCACGTACCGAACTCTCATAAATTGGCCGTGAAATCGACTCGTGGGCACACTTCATTGCCCGGGCGTTCGCCTCCTGCTCAGCCTCTCCCGTTTCTGGTTCTAGCAAGTCAAAAGACGGGCCAATCGTGTGTGATGTTGTCGTATACGACTTTATATGTGTACACCATGTGGTCGTCCCAACATACAACCGCGGAGGGGGTGGGCAAGGAAAACGTATTGTTTCATTATACATTAGACTGTGGCTTGAGTGGGACGCACTCTACCTAGTAAAACCTGAGATTTAGTAAAACCTGAGATATAACTGTGTACTGCATACCTACAGCCCTCATCCTTAGTGAGCTCTCACAAAGTATACTAGGCTATAAACAAAGCTGTTTATATTGTTACCTTTCATATTCGCTGCAATAGTTCCGGCAGTAGCCAATGCCCTCGGCGACGAAGAGAATGCGGAACACGACAGTAAGCAGCAAGAAGAAGGTAGGACAGGCGGATGACTCGTGTGCAAATACATTTGTGTGCAGTTGATATACATATATGTGTAGTCGACCTATATGTATGTACAAGTATATATATGTATGTACAAGTATCTATAAGTAAGTACGAGTATATATATATATATATATATGTACGAGCACCATATATATATATATATATATTCCTGTGTATATCTCCAGCCTATCACATAGGGTGTACAATCATAAGATATGGTTGTAGAAGACATCGAACGCTCTCTATTATACAGCACGCAATAGTCCCTCTGACCTGCGTCACCTTTTGCATAAAACGAAAGCACGTGTGGATTGCACTCAATTAGAACACCCCTGAGCTCTGATTCCATCTCGGCTCTATCTCTGCTTTAATTAATATGAAGGTAGGCTGGGATTCACTCAAGCAGAACACATGTGCACAACTGCTCGTTTCAATCACGTGTAAGGTCATACTCATTGCACTCGCAACATGCGGCTATCATTCCGTTAGACCACCCGGTGGGATTCACTCAAGTAGAACATTCATGCGCATTCATACCAATACTTGAATAGAAACACACACATTGGGTTTCCTTCGCATCAGATGATGAACTGATGAAAGAACTGCGCAATGAACAAGTGGCCCAGAATGAGGTGATTGAGAATGTGGGAGCCAATCAGAATGCAGGAAACGATGCGGTCGCGAATGAGAACGCGGAAAATGAAAAGAGAGTGGCCAATGAGAATGCGCGCGATCTGTTAGAAGAACAGAGAGAGCAAGAGCGAGCACAGGATGCGGTAGGGGTTGACGTTGATTTGGAGGGAAACCAGAGGCAAGGCCAAGAAGGCCAAGGAGACAACAACCCACGTGACGTAGTACCACAAGGAGAGGACGAGGAGGATATTGAAGAGGCGAGGGATCAGGAGGGGCATGAGATGGGTGGCTTGGCCGGAGACGCGGAGGCTGAGAATGCCGGAGATGATGAAGAAGATAATGAGGAAGACAATATGGTTGCGAATGCCGGGGATGATGATGAAGATATCGAGGAAAAAAATATGGTTGCGAATGCTGGAGATGATGAAGAAGATATCGAGGAAGCCGATGGAGAAGCACTGGACGATGACGCGCTTAAGGAGGCTATTGCGAACGGAGTTTTGTATAAAAATCTTATTGGGAATGCCAAGGGTGTGGATTTAGATATCGAGGAAGTCGATGAGGAAGAGATCGAGGATATTCCTGAAGAGATCGAGGATATTCCTGAAGAGGAAGATGAAGATGACATCGAAATTGCGCCTGGGGATGAATTTGGGGAGGAAATCGGTAATGGAGAAGGGGCTGCCAAATTAGGGCATGGGGACAACGTAAAGGCTGCCGAGGCTATCAGGCAGTTGCAAGCACTGGCGGCGCAACAGCAAGACGTGATGGAGGACGCTGTGGACAAGGCGGTGAAGGATTTTGAGAAGACAAATCCCAATGCCGATCAAAATATCAAACCCAAAACTGATCCCGATATCGATTCCGATGCCAATGTTAAAGCCGATTTTGCTTTCGATGCGAAAGCTGGGGCCAATGGGGACGCGGAGGCGGCAGATGAGGGCGATGAAGGGATCGAAGAAATCGGGGCGGAGAATGGGAATAAGATAAACATCGACGACGACGACAATGGTATTGTATTTGAGATGAAGAATGAAAACGAGGTTGAAATCCCGGATGGGGATGATGAGGACCTTGATGGTAGGTAGGTGGTGTGCAATTATGCGATGGATGCAGTTGTAGCACTTGATGTGCATCTCTGTATAGGTGCTAGTACGTGGTTGGGGTAATCTCGTTTGCCTGCTTTTATATCGTGTGTGTGTGTGACGAATGACAAACCTTATTAGACCCTTCATGATGTACGGTACTTCTTCAACCTTTCTAAACATATATATAAGCCTTAAAGATCGAGTTCCCTGTAACACGATATCCGGAAACACAATATCCGAATCCACATTCAAATCTCTCTTTGTTACTGTACATGCCCTATGTTTTGCAGGTGAACTACCGGCCGACGAGCGTAGAAGGAGAAAGGTGGCTCGATCCGCCACCAAGCGCACGAATAATATACAACCGCCAACTGTATCAGCCAAGAACCAAAGAGACATTCCAGAGCGAGGTGTGGACCATAATGGTGCATTCAGGCCCGATATGTTGTTGGACGAGGACGCTATAGATGCTGAGATAATGCGAAACCTGAACCCAAGGCATGCACCTGTGGCCATGCCAAAAGGACTATCGGTCCCATCAATCGGACAACTCGGGCAAAGTGCGGAAGACATCACGGACAGCGCAAAGGACTATGAGGCGGCGATGCGAAACAGAGCGGAAGCCATGATACGTGCGCTGACACTCATTGAACGGTTGAACGCAGAGAATGCGCTGTACGACCCAGAAGTACTGAACTCAGACGAAAGGAGAGGCATGAACATGGAATACGAGGCCTTTGCATGGGGCAGGGAACGCGTTAGGGAAGTGGACGAAGACGTTACAGAGGGGGATGAAGGGGGGACGGGGGATAGTGCTGAGGAACAAGCGGTTGTTGAAAGTGTCGATAATGAGCCTGGAAGTGATGCGGAGGTTTTTACTGACGAGTCCCAGGAGTATGGAGGTGTGTGGTATTCCGAAGAGGAGGAGAAGGTTGTGTGGCGGGAGAAGGGGCGGCGGAATATGGAGCAGCTTCGGGCGGGTACGTTTGAAGGATACTACGTGAATGGAGGGTTTGGCGACGGGCGTGCAAGCGAGCTAAGCGAAGGCGACGTGCCGTTTGACCTGGAATGGGAGGAGAGGGAAGATGTCCGACGCGAAGTAGAGGCGCAGACAAGGTTAGAAGAACAGAAAGAATTAGAACGTGAGAGGTGGAGGCTGATGCGAGAGAGTGCGAGGAAGGACAGCAAGGTGCAGAGTGGGGTGGGGAAGAAACTGGTCGTGGATGCTGTGCTGTGACACACGCCGGCCAGGCAATAAATTATTAGTTTAAAGTGTAAACGCGGTTCTCGCAAGGATCGGGTTTGTTTAGTACTATTAGCTGATGAGCGAATGTGTGTCTGTAGTGGGGATATTTGTGGGTGTGGGTACGGTTGTTAAAAGAGTACGAGCTTTGTATATACTACATACTGCACTGTCGTCGATTCCGAAACTACGCGCATGGACCAGTAATAGGAGAGCTGGGCAAACGTATGGAAATTCAAATATAAACGTTGCTCAGATGCACTTGCGTTTGCGTTTACATGCATCCGAAAATCACTGAGTACAGACAGGCAAACGTATATATACGTTTGTGCGTCTATACTGTGATTGCCTACCTGGGAATCATGATCGAATGATACGCTTTATTAGATAGCCAGTTTCTTTAAGAATCTCAATAGATACATCCCTTGTGCGAATCATCATGCCAAATACAGCTGTACGATGGGAAACACCTGTTTAGCATACAATGTTTTATTTCTGTGTGCTTCGGCGAATAAGCACATATATTCGGATTTCCGTCCCGTGCTAGCACAAGTACACGCAATATTGCTCATAAGTACACGAGCGATTATGAGCAATTATACGGCGCCCAGGACCGTCGTGAGGATATGCCAACAGAGCATAGACATGGAGAGGTGAACAGTAGACAAGGAACAGGTTCAGAGACACTACCTGGAGACAGTAATTAAAGGTACGCAAACCTGGAGTTCGAGCGACGATAAGTGGTCATAT